ACATTATATTACGGTGTGCCATTATACATTTTTTTTAAAAAATAATTTTAAAAAATTACATATTGTGTACGTATGAATGTCAGTATATGCAATTGAAACTTGTATGCACATACAAACATACATACATATTATTGCAATTATTTTATATCAAGGTTTCATAGATCGAAACCTTGTTATTTAGTGATTCATCTTAAAAATTCTATACAGTTGATTGATTTTAAAATGAAAATAATACAAAAAAAAAAATAAAAAACCTATGATCGTGTAATTTTATTGATTTTTCATTATTTATTTTTTTATTTTATATACAATCTTTAATTTTTTCTCTCTCCTTACTTTTATGTTATGATAAATTGCATATATACCTATGTATAATTGAGTACCAAAGTTTATATTATGTGAATTTGATAGCATATATGCAATTATGCAATAGTATGTACGTACTTATTCAAATTATTCAAGATTTTCATCTTATTCTTACTCATAAAATATGAAATTTTTTATTAAAAATTATTTTCCACTTTTACAATATTCACAATATTTACAATATTCACAATCATACAGATATAAGATTAATTACAAAATTTATGCAAAAAAGTACTTGAATAAATTCAGAATTGAGAGTTAAGAGTAATTTTTTAAAAAAAAAAATTTTTTTGAAATTCATTGTCAATCCGAAAATATTCTAGTATTTTAAAAATAATTATTATAAATTAAAATATTTTAAAATAATAAATTAAATAAAAAATATTTCTTAAGAATTATTGCAAGAAAAATCATAAGAAATTTTATAAAAGAGTCAAAATATAACTAAGACTGCTGTTTCTAAATTGCATATTTTACTCCAGAATTTGCTATCTATAAATTGCTATATATATATATATATATATATATATATATATATATATTTGTGTAATAATGTATATACATACCTATACATTTACTTAATAAATTTCGAATGCAAATCATTTATTTATGTAAAAATACGAATTATAAAATCATTGTGGCATGAAAAATTAAAATTCTGAAATAAAAAATAAAAATATTGTAAAATCAAGTAAAATAAGAATTATTTTTTTTCGCCAAAAAAAAAAATTCTCTTACCACTCTTGTTATTATTAAAATGCCGGTATAATTTTCATTTATAAATTCAAAAACTAAAAGCACAAAAACAAATTACAAAATTATGATGGTGAATACCAAAAAAAAAAAAATTGTATTTCCTTAGAAAAATTAAATTTACAAAATACAAGTATATGAAAAGGAGGACAATACAAAAAACAAAAACAAATAAAAAAGGAAACCAAAATTAACTACCGCATTTCAATCCAAATTTGTGAATAAAAGAAAAAGAATCTGATGTGGTCAACACATAACCAACTGCAATATATAGCGAAAATATTACCTAGAAAAATGTAAATTTGACTCTTAGTACAGTTTCTCTTTGTGCCATCCGAATTCTCTGATAAATTAGTTTCGATAACAACCAGAACTCGAATATTAAAATTTCGAGAAAATTAATCAATTATTTCGGTTCATATAGTATAGAATGTAAAATCGGTCCCTATAGTTCGGTTTCCGATCTCTGATCTTTCTAAAAAATTTTATAGATTCATTATAGTAACACGACTTTGATCAAATCAAATTTCAAGGAAATTGTTTTTATTATTTTTCTATATAGTTTGCTGATCAATGTAAAATTAGGACTCCAAAATTGGTAAATTCCCGAGTCCTATAATAAATCCCTGAAATGGAGAGGTTGATTTTCACCGAAAACTCGAAGTCCGGTACCATCACATAACCTCACTTATTGTATTCAATGAGGTCCAAATAAAAATGAATGAATTTGTTAAATTTAAACAGCTCACTGTTCGAATTCAAATCGGTAAAATAATAAAATGTTTAACATTATTTTTAAGTGAGTGACCAGACTTTCTTATCTTCATATTATAAAATATTTATTTAAATTGGTAGTTATTTTACTCGTCATATAAATTTTTAATTCTTCTTATATGATTTTTTAATTTAATCCACAAAATATTTATGTATATTTCGTATATATATGTATATATGTAGATATTTAATTGCATAATAAAGAATACCATAACCAAATATTATTCCAGCTCAAGAAAAAAGCGTATATATACAATAAAAACAATAAAATTAAAATTCAAAGATGGTGGGAATTTATAATTAAAAAAAAATTTTTTTTTTTTTTTTAAAAAACCTATAAAAACAGAATCAAAAATCGAATAAAATGAAGACACGGGGTGGTTCAAGAACAAAATAATTTTTATCTTATTTTTTAATCATCATTATATCGTAATCAACATCATCATCATTACCATCATTATCACAGAGCATCAAATCATTGATAGCAAGTTAAAAGCAGCAGTTTTAATCGTTTTTTAAGGGTATTTTTTTTTTTTAAAGTCGTAAATTTTTACTAAATTTGGATTTTTTTGCATTTTAATTCTTCCGCATAACCATGTATGTATGTATGTATATTGTAATATAACATGGTAGCACATACATATATTATAATGTATGTATAGTATTTTAATTCTACCAACATAATGAAATTAATTCAACTTTTAAGTTTTTTCTTTTATTGCATCTTGAAAATTATTGGATATCTGTTGCTAATTTTATCATTTGATTTCATTTTATTATCGTAAATTTTAATATACTCGTATATATACTCTAGTATGTCGAGTATATAAGATATATTTAATGAATATTAAAAGTTTAAAACATGATTTGCAAAACTATTTCAAAATATTGCTGTTGATTGAAATTGTTCGTTAGTAATCAAAAATAATGCTATACTGCTTTACTGCTATTAATAGGATATTTGATGAATTTAAATCGAACCTCAATAAATCATAAATCATTATTATCAATTTCGGAATAGATTAACATTTACAATAGTATATACAGATCACAGGCTTCAAAATTATATAAGTCTTATAAGCATAAATACTCAATTCAGCTTATGAATTATAATTGCTGAATTGTGTTAAAGTGCAGTATAATTGCATTTTGGAACTCACAATAATATAATATATATATAAGCTTACCTTTTTTGAATTATTAATTAATATAATTATTATTGTTGTTGTAGCGAGTGAGGACCTGTATCCGAGCTGACGATCCTTGGCCTGGCTCTCAGTTATAATTGAGTATATCTCTTCAGTACGTAGAATCGATCGTCATGGGAGAGTAATACAATTGTTGTTCATGCTAATAAAAAATTATATAGTAACCTGTTTCCAACCTTAATAAGAGATATCAAATGTATATTATGCTTCTAACCGTGTGATTTATTTCGAGTTAATTCGGCTGAATTCGTGATAATATTTATCAATTTTATAAAATAATTTTGACTATTATATGACATTAATATTTTTTCATCAAAACTACTATATTTGTCGAAAAATATGTTTTGAAAACTGCCCGTCGCAATAATACTAAATTGTTAAACAATTCAGCAATTATAACTTATAAGCTGAATTGTATATTAACACGATTATTTTTACTCTGATGAAACTTATAATGCCTTTCCATTTTAAAACTTCGTTCTCTCGTATTTTGTTCTTTTTTTTTTGAAAGGTGAAAATCAAGATTTAAAGAGAAAATAAAAAATATAAAGAAAATACCATCAGTTTTTATGACTTTTCCGAAAAATAATCACAATAAAAAATAATTTCCTTTTTTTTTCTGCTTTTGTTGTGCCATTTTTGTTTTTTGTGTTATATTCTTAAATACCGATTCATTGTTTAGAGTTAACCTTCATATAGCCGTATTAAAATATTTTAATTTTGCTTTTTTTGGTTTTTCTTTTGGGAAAATGGTCTTTGACTCTATTATTTATTATAAATGTATTTAAAAATTATTGCAAAGAAACTATACACATGGATAACAAACTGTAAGAATGAAAAAAAAATATTACTGTTGTTTGTTTCAATTTAAGTTAAACACACATACAAACGTAGTGTAATGCAAATTCATCAAAGCAAGAATTAAAAAAAGGCAGTTAATTTCCTAAAAAATTGCATATTATTATTATGTGATATTGAAAGCAAACCTTTAAATAACGAAAAAGGAGGAACTGAAAAGAAAACAATGAGAAAACAATGAAATTAAAAATTAGCCTTGTTTACTTTAGGATATTAAATTCAATTAAAACTCCAAACCATTTCAAATCAATTTTAATACAACCAGCTAAATACAAATCTAAAAATGAATTCGATTTATTCAGCAATTAAAATTGTATTGCTGAATTAGTGAAGTTTACGGTATTTCAAAAAATATATGAAAAATCTAGTAATACTTGGTTATCCGGAAACTGAATTATGCGGCAACGACATCTATTGTTTTGGTAAGCAACAAAAATATATAAACAATTCATACTGAATACAAACAATTGGTATTAAAAATTCCGAACTAAAATCGAAAACCGCCGGAAATTTTCGGGAATGTTCGTATTATTTATGTGAACAAATATTTTTTGGACAATTAAATGTTGCATACTGCATGTGTTATAAATTCTAAAACTGATTCTTTATACCATACACAAAATGAGCTGTAAAGAGTTTGAAAAAAAAAATAGAATAATTGAATAATTTTTCAAATATTTTATGACACCTAAGGAGTACAGATAAGAAATTGCTATTTTTCTCTTTATTATCCACGACTTATTATTATTTTTAATTTTTTATTTCAATTACAGTCCGTATCACAATAAAATCCTATTTTAATTCTTAAGTACTTAGATAATTGAAGTGTTTTCGTTCCTTATTTCATCTTATTAAAATTGAAATTAAATAAAAATAATTACATGGTGTCATGAAAATTAATTAGCTACACAAATTGAAAATATACTTTGACAAATAATAAGATGCAACTTCATTTATAACAACAATTTTCTTTCATTTGAAAATATTTTCATAATTTAATAAATTTTAAATTAATTATTTCGTAATTTTTCATTTTAACAGAATGAACCTGAAAGTACATCTGAATTACCAGCGGCTAACAGAGCCTTATTTTTGGATAAAGTACGACAATCGAATGCAGCATGTCAAACAGGTGATTTTGCTACTGCTGTATCGTTATATACTGATGCATTACAATTAGATCCAGGAAATTATATATTGTACAGTAATAGATCGGCAGCTCGACTAAAACAGGGACAATTTACATTAGCGTTACAAGATGCAATCAAAGCCAAAGAATTATGTCCACAATGGCCAAAAGCATATTTTCGACAAGGCGTTGCATTACAATGTTTAGGACGATATGGTGAAGCTTTAGCAGCATTTAGTGCAGGTTTAGCACAAGATGCTAATAATAAACAACTTTTATCTGGTTTAATTGAAGCATCAATTAAAAGTCCATTAAGGCATGCACTTGAGCCAACATTTCAACAATTACAAAATATGAAATTAGATCAATCATCATTTGTTGTTATATCAGTAGTTGGACAAGAATTATTACAAACTGGTCAATATCAATCAGCAGTAACCGTTTTAGAAGCTGCACTTCGAATTGGCTCATGCTCATTAAAATTACGAGGTTCAGTTTTTAGTGCATTAAGTTCTGCATATTGGGCTCTTAATCAATTAGACAAAGCAATTAGCTATATGCAACAAGATTTGGCAACTTGTAAAAGCCTTGGTGATACAGCAGGTGAATGTAGAGCACATGGTAATTTAGGAAGTGCATATTTTAGTCAAGGATCATATAAAGAAGCCCTAACAGCACATAGATATCAATTAGTACTAGCTATGAAATATAAAGATGTTCAGGCAAGTTCACAAGCTCTTACTTCACTTGGACATGTTTATACAGCTATAGGAGATTATACAAATGCATTAGCGAGTCATAAACAATGCGTACAGCTAGTCAAACAGATGGGAGATCGCCTTCAGGAAGCTAGAGAAATTGGAAATGTTGGTGCGGTGTATTTAGCCATGGGAGAGTAAGTTGATTTTAAGTTCATTATGGTACTATAAATTAAATTATTGAAATTTCTAGATTTGATTCTGCAGTTGATTGCCACACACAACATTTAAGAATTGCTAGAAAATTAGGAAATCAAGTAGAGGAAGCCAGAGCATATAGTAATTTAGGATCTGTTGCACATTATAGAAGAAATTTTAGCCAAGCAATCAATTGTCATGAACAAGTATTAAGAATCGCCCAGCAATTAGGAGATCGAAATATTGAAGCTCGTGCATATGCTGGATTAGGTCATGCAGCCCGTTGTGCTGGAGATTTAGTTCAGGCGAAGCGATGGCATGAGAAACAATTAGAGATGGCATTAGCAGTTCGAGACAAATTTGCAGAAGGGCGTGCTTGTTCTAATTTAGGAATAGTTTATCAATTATTAGGTGAAAATGATGCAGCTTTAAAACTACATCAAGCCCATTTGAGCATATCAAAACAACTTCAGGATCGTGCTGGTATGGGAAGAGCATTTGGTAACATAGGCAATGCTTATTCAGCAGCGGGTCTATATGAAGCTGCTATCAAATATCACAAATCAGAATTAACAATAAGTAAAGAAGTAAGAGATAGAAGTTCTGAAGCTTCTACACATGGTAACTTAGCCGTAGCATATCAAGCCTTAGGAGCTCATGATATGGCTCTGGTACATTATCGTGCTCATTTAAGCATAGCTAGAGAACTAAAGGATACTGCAGGTGAAGCGTGTGCGTTATTAAATCTAGGAAATTGTTTGAGTTCTAGACAAGAATTTGCTCAAGCAATAATATATTACGAACAGTATTTAATGTTATCCCAAGAACTGGGTGATATTTCCGCTGAAAGCAAAGCTTGCCACTTTCTCGGTTATGCTCATTATTGTATAGGAAACTATCGTGAGGCTATTCGTTACTACGATCAAGACTTAGCTTTAGCGAAAGACCTTCAAGACAAAATGAATGTAGGTAGAGCCTATTGCAATTTAGGTTTAGCTCATCTTGCCCTAGGAAATACACAAGTAGCATTAGAATGCCAAAAATATTTCCTAACAATAGCACATATAACAAATCATTTACCAGGAAAGTTTAGAGCTTTAGGAAATATTGGAGATATTTTAATAAAGACTGGGGAAACAGACGAAGCAGCTAAAATGTATCACAGACAATTGGCTTTAGCAAGGCAAGGACGTGAAAGAGCTATGGAAGCTGCAGCGTGTGGCGCCCTAGGTCTAACTCATAAATTAGTTAAAAAGTTTGATAAAAGCTTAGGATATCATACACAAGAACTGAATTTGCGAAGAGAAATTGGTGACATTTCGGGAGAATGTAAGGCTCATGGGCATATAGGAGCGGTTCATATAAGTTTAGGTAAAAACAATAATTCGATAAAATATAATAGTTACTCTTTATTAACTAAATTATTCTAGGTAATTACTCTCATGCCATCAAATCTTACCAACAACAATTGGAAAGAGCTCAAGAAATACATGATTCGATATTAGAAGCACAAGCATATGGAAATTTAGGTCTAGCAAAATTAAGTATGGGCTTATTTGAAGAAGCAATTGGTTTTCTAGAACAACAGCTAGCTACTTTAGAACAACAAACTGATACAACAACTATATTACAAGATCGTGCAAGAGCACTTGGCCATCTCGGAGATTGCTATGATGCTTTAGGAGATTATGAAGAAAGTGTCAAATGTCATGAAAGATATTTACACTTAGCTACTCAATTGCAAAGTTTCAGGGATCAAGAAAAAGCATATCGCGGTTTGGGTTTAGGTCATCAAGCCTTGGGTAATTTGAAGGAAGCACTTGTGTGCCTTGAGAAACGGCTTGTTGTAGCACATGAGCTAGGTAATACTGCGTTTGCCGATTTAGGTAAAAAAGCAGCCGCATACGGAGATTTAGGAAACATCCATAATGCGTTAGGAAACTATGAGCAAGCTATAAATTGTCTTGAACACCAGAAGGAAATTGCAAAAGAACTTGGTGATGAAGTTCTTCTATCTGACGCATCAAGTTCGTTAGGCAACGTGTACCAAAACATGGGTAAAGGTGATGATGCCTTAAAATTACATATTCAGGATTTAGAAAAATGTGAAAATTTGGAGTTTGTGTCATTGCAAGCCAGAGCTTGCGGTAATTTAGGAAAAGTTTATGAATCATTGAAAAACTACACAGAAGCAATAAAATATTTTGAAAAGCAATTATCATTGGCTTCAGACCGCTTATCTAAAGCTTTCGCTTGTGGAGCGCTAGGTAAATTTTATAAGCTGCTATTTTCAACCAATTCTGTTATTGAAATACAAATTTTTAAAGGTCGTGTTTATTTACAAATCGGAGAGACAGCACAGGCAATAAACTTCTTGCGTCAAGGACTTGCCATTGCCCAATCATTAAACAAATCAGAAGAGGAAGCAAAAATAAGACATCAATTGGGTAATTTGATCTGAGTATTGTCAATGAGAAATTTTTAGTAACTATTTTTGTTTTATTTCAGGTCTTGCTTTACGAACTTCTGGTGAAAATGAAAATGCTAAAATTCAGTTGGAAACAGCGGCTCAAATACTTGAATCAGTAAGGTTTGAACAGAGATCTCCGGAGGCAAGAACTATTTTATTTGATTTGCAGACATCCTGTTTCCACGTTTTACAACAAATTCTTGTAGAAATGCAACGAAGCGAAGAAGCATTACTAGGTTGATATACTCTTAATAAATAAACGAACTAAATTTAAATTTTTAAATTTATTTTTAGTTGCTGAAAGATGTAAGGCAAGAACAAGTACTGACACAAATAACATAACAATTTCAAGAAAAAATATGATTATTTCAAATGAAAGCATTTATGAAACTGTTAATAAAGCTAAAACAAATGTTATTTACTTTAGTATTGCGGGACAAGAACTTTATGCTTGGTTCATACAACCGCAAAAGAAAATTATTCGATTCCATTCAACTAAAATTAATGAAATAACTTTGAAAATCACATCAGACATGTTGTCAAACCGCCGGTTCAATGAAAGTGAAAGCTTACTTGAAAAGTACGTGAATATGGTAAGAGACAGTTTAGGAGTAAATTCCGATAGTGTATTGCATGAAGGAGATGGTAGTGGCTGGCGTTCAAGTTCAGAAAATTTACTTGATGATTTTGCTACTGAACGATCTGGGTTCTTAAGAATGGTTAATCGGAACCACTTAATGAACTCAAGTAATTATTCTCTAAGTTCATTGTTTAGTTTGGGTAGTGTTGGCGGATCAGTCACAAGTTTACAAGGATCAACACGATCTGTTGGATCTATTCAAGGGTCGAATAGAATGCTTCCACAATGGCAAGGTCCAAGTTGTTTGCACACACTCTATAATTTACTTTTAGAACCATTTGATGATCTACTTCCAACGAGCGACACAGTTTCCAAGATCGGTCGAAAAGAATTAATTCTTGTTTTAGAAAATGAGCTCTATTTGGTACCGTTTGCTGTTCTTCGTAGTGGTCAACAAAATGGTGAATATTTATCAGAAAGATGTTCTATTTTAACAGTACCATCACTTCAATCTCTACGTTTAAAAAGTAAAATTATAAGAAATCGAGATCAAGCACTTTTGCAAACCGCTCTAGTAATTGGGGGACCACGCATTCCGTCAAGTTTATCAGAAACTTGGGGATGGTCTGATTCACCAGCAGCTATTCAGGAAGCCTCCATGGTTGCTGATATGCTACAGTGTAAGCCCTTAGTGGGCTGTAACGCCACAAAGGAAGCTGTAATGACTGAATTACCTGTAGCAGAATGCGTTCATTTCGCAGCCAATTTAAGCTGGAAACTGGGAGCTGTTGTACTGAGTCCTGGTGATGTAGTAGATTCACAAAAGATGATATATCCAAACTCTAATGAAAGAGGTGATACGGAAGATGACGCCAATGATATTTCAAATGATATTGAAGTTCCACCTCTACCAGAATTTACACTTACCTCTGCTGATGTTTTGACAATGAAATTGAATGCTAAACTTGTAGTTCTCAGTTCTTATCATTCTATTGAGCCAATAAATGGAAATGGTGTTGCCAATTTAGCAGGAAGCTGGTTATGTGCCGGAGCTGGAGCAGTTTTAATATCGCTTTGGCCAGTGCCAGAAACTGCTGCAAAGATTTTGCTCAGAGCTTTTTATTCAGCTCTTTTACAAGGAACAAGAGCTGCAAGGTAAATTAATAATATTAATATTGTACATTATTAGCTAATTGAAAAAATTGTGATGTATTTGTAGGGCTTTAGCAGAGGCAATGCAAACAGTTCAACATACAAAACACTTTGCCCACCCAGCCAACTGGGCAGGTTTCCTTTTAATTGGCGCCAATATACGTCTATCCAATAAAGTTGCTCTTATGGGGCAAGCACTGTGTGAATTAATGAAAAACCCAGAAAAATGTAGAGACGCTTTGAGAGTTTGTTTGCATCTTGTTGAAAAAAGTCTACAAAGAATTAATAGGGGTCAAAGAAATGCAATGTACACTACACAGAAAAGTATCGAAAATAAAGCTGGTTGTGTAAACGGATGGAAAGATCTTTTAATGGCAGTGGGCTTTAGATTTGAACCAGCAGCAAATGGTATACCATCTAGCGTATTTTTCCCACAGTCAGACCCGGAAGATCGTCTTTCTCAATGTTCGGCCAGTTTGCAAGCGCTATTAGCCCTGTCGCCAACAACTTTGTATGCTTTATCAAAGCTAGTAGATAGTTCTGAAATAGCAGATGATATAATCGCTGTTATAAGAAATGTTTTAAGCATGTTCCCCCCAAAAGGAAGTCCGGAAAAAGAAGTAAATTTGGAAGTACCTCTAAGTGTACATTTATGGAGAACATCTGGTTGCCATGAATTACTGGCTTCTTTAGGATTCGATTTAATGGAAGTAGGTCAATCTCAAGTAACTTTAAGGACTGGGAAGCAAGCAAGTCGAAGAAATTGTCAGTTTGTTTTACAGGCTTTATTAGCCTTATTTGGTGAGTTTATAAAACAATCTTGGTTAAGAAACAAAGTATCTAATTTATTTTATTCTATTTTTAGATACACAAGAAGCTCCGAAAAGCTTAGGCCTCGACTCGTGCAGTAGCTCAGAATCTTTAAATGATGAAAGTCGTTCGGAAGTAGCTCAAAGCAGTACAAGCCAAATGACAATGTCATCACAACAGCAGAGGAGCATTTCACCAGCTGGAACTGTTAAATCTATGAATTCTCAGACTATTTTTCCGCCAACGATTCCTAATAACAGACCACAAATTTTGAGCGGAACAGGTGCATTTACTTCATACGTTCGCAGAAGAGGAGAACCTGATGGGGGCCAAAATGATAATGATGCTCTACAAAATCAAACAACAAAAATATCAAATCCAACTGTTACAAATGTTTATCCCACATTGGATACAAATCAACTTACTACAGACAGTGAACTTTCAGACGGATACACACCCTACACACTAAATAAAAACAAAGGACCTAGGTTGGGTTATTCAAGTTTAAGAAATCCAATAAGAGTTTCTAGACCAGGTGGAGGTGGGGAGAGTGATGCAGCTTTTACACCCAGTCCACCTGTTACTACACAAAATCATGCAGATCCCAATGTTCAATTGGCACTTGCACATCAAACAAGAATACGTAATTTATATCCAGGAAATGGATTCCTTGGTGATAGCGTAATTCCAGAAATGACTGTTGCTCCAAATATGTCACGGCGTCCTGATAGTAGTAGCTCAACAAGTTCTGCAACAGATTGGGAAGGTTCTGGTCATGCGACAGTTCTACGTAGATCAAATCCAAACCAAACATATAGGCAACCGTTAGTAGATAGTTTACGTAATTTGAGTACTTTAAATTCAGCTTTCCATGCTGTTAAAAATCATTTACAATCATCTGGCAACAAAAACATCTTACCAACTTTAGAATCAACAAGTTCAGAATCAGAATTTGAACGTGGCCTAGAATTAGATACTATAAATTCTGGAAATATATTTGGATTACGTGGTAAATCTAAAATTAAAATGGGTCAACATATTAGTATGACTAATCGACCTAATCAAAAATTCAATTTTATGGAACGTTTAAATTCAAGGAATATTGTAGAAGCTGCTAATTCTAATTCAAATGATAAAAATACAGCATTAAATGAATGTGAAACATCATTAATATTTAATACAACGAATCTATGTATATCAAATTCAGAAGATGATTTAGAAGAAGAAACTCAAATAAGAAATACAGATTCTAATGGTAATGCACAAAAGAAACATTCAATTCCAGTTACATCAACACCATCAAGTAAAGATAATAAACCGAATATTAAAATTCAAGATTCAATTATGCGTCATATGAATAGAGAAATGACACCAACGATAAGTGAAGTTTATCATGAAAGAAATATTGGATTAGGTTTAGCACCATCATTATCAAAATTATTATTAACTAAAAATTATGATGAGACTGAATTAAAAATAGTTAGTGGATCAAATGAAAATTCTACAGAAATATTGAATAATGTAACAACAACAACAAATACAAATATTTCAACGGTAGAACCATGTTCAATATGTGGTGAACCAGGTGATATAATATGCCGTTGTAAAGCAGCAACTGTACAAAAGAAATCATCATCTAAACCATGGTTAACAAATATACCATCAAGAATAGTTAAAGGAAGTGATTTAGCAACATCTGAAATTGTTGTTGAAAGACAAAATAAATGTAAAAATAAAAGTAATCCAAAAGATATTATAGTTAAACGATCTACAAGTCCATATAGTGATTTAAGTAAAAGAGATGAAGGTGATGGCCGTTCTGTTGCTGATTCACAATGTAGTAGCACATATAAAACTGATGTAAATGTAAATAATGTTAGTGTAACTTTAACAAAATTTTCAACTCCAGCAACATAAGAAACTATATATGAATAATGGAATATGTTAGATAAAATACAGAAGAACAATGAAAATGCAATAAATTTATTATAAAAAAAAGAACAAAAATTAAATATTAAAATTTTTTTTTTTAATTTCTATTAATTTTAGATAGAATTTTATTTAAATTATTATTATTATTATATATAATATTATAATATTTGCCACTTTTGTATAATATTATTGCCATTAAGTTAAAATATATTTTTAACATTTTAAATTTTAATTAAATTTTTTAACGCATTTATATATAATAATTATGTAAGTACAATTTTATTTAATATTTTAGTTTAACTTTTAAAAAATTATCACATTTTTACGTAAATATTTTTATAATATTATCACTAAATAAACAAATATATTTTTTTAAAAAAAAAACAAAAAAAATGTTTATGTGTTGAAAATAAAATATAAATTTTAATTTATTTATTGTGCTAAAATATATATAAAAAAAAAAAAAAATAAAAATTAATTTTACAAATAAAAAGAAAACCATATTTTAAAAAAAAAACTTGTATTTATTTTTCTATTATTGATCAATATTGTTGCCCACATAAAATACAATATGCGCACTCATCTTGTTTAATTTTCTTTTCGTAGCTCTTTAATCTCACACTATCATATCAGATTATGGCTTAGATTTCAAAATCGGCTGAAAAAACTCATCATTTTTGTCTTTAATTGTATTTTGTACCTCGATTTCTTACTAATGATTATGGTATACATACGTTAGCCATGGTTTAGTCTATTTTCGTATTAACACCATAGAGATTCTCATATAGGATGAGAGATTCTCTCATTCAGTCACTGCTTCTTTAAAAAGTAACAAGTTAAATTGCTATTTAAAAATTTTTTAAATGATAATTGACAACAAATGAGGAATCCAATTTGATAAAACAAGAAATATAAGTAAGTGTTCTACACTCAATCCTGAAAACAATCTTTAAAACTTTAATTTTGTCCTGAAAATTACTATGTTTTGTAATTAAAAATCAAAATTTCTTAAATTCATTTTCCATTTATTATTTTTGTTTTTTTTTTTTCCTTTTTTTTCTCTTTTTTTCTTTTCTTCTTTTTTGTTTTTCTATATTTATTTATTTTTTAATATTTTTTGTTTGTTTTGATATCATTTTTTTTTTTTTAGTGTGTTTTTATTTAATTTTTATACAATTATTACAATATTACAATATTATAAATTTCTATGTAACAAAACAAAAAAAAAAAAAATAAACAAGGACAAAAAAAAATAATAATAATATATTTATTTAATTAATAATTAAATTTTATTTCATATATTTATATTTATATATATATATATTTATTTGCATAATATATAACGCCATAATATGTGTAATAATAATAATAATAAACAAGAAGAATTTTATATAATAAAAAAAAAAATGTTTAATTTACAAGATTTTTTAATTACAATTAAAATTAATTTTATTTATTAATTTTTTAGAAATAATAAGGGAATTTGAAAGAGGAAAAAATAAAGAAAATATTTTTAATAATAATAATAATAATAAAATCAAAAAATAAATCTTAAAATTAATTAATTATTTTAATTTGTAATTATTAATTATTAATTATTAATTTATAAAATTTTTTTTTTTTTTTGTATTTTCAGTTTTTTTTATTTATTAACATAATTTACAAATAAGATTTAAATGAGTAAATTAATTTTTTGTTTACTATTTCTTTTTTTTTATTTTTGTAGTTTATTGTGTTATTTTTATGATTATAAAATTATAAATTTTCTGTTTTTTTTTTTTTATTTTTAATATATTCTTTTATTATAATTTATAATGTTAAATAATAATAATAATATATTATCCAGGACAAATAAAATACAACATAAAAAACAAGAAAAAAAAAACAAAATATATTGCTCTTATAAACATATATATATAACATATATATAAACATATATATATATTCTGAAAGGAAAATTTTAAAGACTCATTCTAAAGATCCTAATAATTAAAAAATTGTTTAATAAAAATTCGATGATTTGTTATTTATTATAATTTTTCATCTACATATTTTAAGATTTTAATTTATTTCTTATCATACATATGAGGCAGGCGGTCAGCGTATTAGTGGCTTACTTGCAATGTACCTCAAATTGCATTTCGAGTAAAATTGAATATTAAACATTAAAATATTAAACATTTAATTTTTAAGAAAATTTTTAAAGTTAAAAATTGATGACAAAATAGATTGAAAAGAAAATTAAGTATTTTGAAAATTTTGAATAATTTTCTATATATTCAATAGATCTATATGTTCTCTAATGAATGTTCAAAAAAGCTGTAAAGGTTTAATTTAATTGAACATAATAACTTATTTTTACAAAAACAATGATTAGGATGCAAATGCACTAAGAGCCTCATATATTGCATTCTAATAATATTTTCTTATTATTTTTCATTTGTATTTGCAACTGTTGTCTAATAAAAAATTTAAAGGAATACCGTGACAAATTATTATAATCAAAATATATTTAATTGCTAAGCATACATAGATAAGTTAATCCTTTAGATTTCCAAAAATTCTTTGCAGAATTTTTTTCGTTCAGAATTTTTTAGTTAAATATTTTTACAATTTAATTCATATATATGTTATATAATTAAAATATTATTATAATATTTAATATTAATAATTTTTTTCTTCAAAATAAAGGAAAACAAAATATATAACAATTAAAGAAATATAAAAATATTATATAAATAGAAAAATTATCTTTAAAATATTATAAAATACAAAAATTAAAGAATTTACAAAACAAAAAGAAAAATATTAAATTAATACGCATAAAGAATTTTAAAAATAAATTTCTCATAATTATTTTATAATTATTTTTGCTTCATTAATTTTTCTTTTATTTTAATTGATCTTATTATTTTCAATTAAATAATTAATGTAATATTAATATTTCTTTTTTTTTTGTTTTTTGTTTAATTTTATTCATTTAATTATTTTTCTTTTTAAATAAAATATTTTGGTGTTTTTTTGTATTTGGACCTTTTTCTTAATTTAATTAATTTTATTTTACGAATATTTGTGAATAAAAGAAAAAAATCTATCATATAATTTTGAAAAATGATACAATTTTTACTTTTAATCTTATTTATTCAATTTTTTTCATTTTGTATTTCTAATAATTAATTTTAATTTTATACTTGTATTAGGACTATTCTTTGTTTTATTTTTCTCTGTGTCGTCTAATAAATTTGAATAGTTATACAATTTATACGTCGTTTTTTCAGTATTTAGCGCCGTTTTTAATTTTTCTGTTCTTTTCGATAAGCTATTTTATTTATTTTATGATGATTTTTCAATTTGTATAAGGATTTAGAAAGCATTATATAATTTTAATATCTATACATATAAGTAATAATAACATAAAATTTTATTTGCGATTTTTTCATATTGCTTTGTATGAAGAAGAAAAAGTAATTAATCAATATTAATAATATTACAATTCTTTATATTTAATAAAAAAGAGCCAAATTTTTATTGAAAAGATCGTAATATTTTGAAAATAATTTCAAATAGAAGATGAAGAAAAGAAGCAAAGAAAATCTAATAATTTTTTTAATAATACAATAATCTAATATTTTGATTAAATTGCAATTACAAAATATAAAAAAATCAACAGGTTTGAAATATTTAATTAAATCTCTTTTTATTTTAATTCATGAATTAATGAATTATCAAGAAACAATCCAAGTGATTTGAGAATTTATATTTTTGTATTCAACTTAATAAAATTATAAAATTAATTATAATGTTAAGGGTATAACTTTATCTGTATTTTATACGGTTTAATATCGAACATGAGTTTTGCTTTGATAGTAAAAATGAAGAATTAGTCCCTTATTATGAACGGCAAAGCGAATGAAATTATTGGCGATTATGAATTTTTGGTATTATGATTAGTGAATTCACCTAAATTTTAGACGAATGTGCTATCAAATCTGTCGAATGAAAATTCTTTGTGACAAGCTTTGCAAATAAAACCAAAAATCAAAGTAATACATGTGTTTTTTGTTTCACTTGATATCATAGCATTTATAGAGATATAATGAAAAAATCTTTAAAATATCTAAAATTCTAAAAATTATTCTAAACAATACTGATTGTTTAATATTAAATTAAGTGTGAAAAAAAAAAGAGCCAAAAACAATTCGAACATTTAAATAAATTAATGGAAAACAACCCACTCAATTGTTTTTGCAAAAAAAAAACAAAACCAATGTAGATATTTGTGTTGTAAACCTTATTATTTTGGGTAGGTTTTTCTGATTTCTTGTGATAGCAACATTTTGAATCTGGCGAATGAAATCATTTGCCGATCATAATTTAAAATATCATTCGATTCGCCTAGTCTATTCGACTCTCCTAGCCATTCGGTATTGCCAATCATAGTAAGAGTATTAATTTTTAAAATTAAACACGTTCATAAAAAATTAAGTCATCTTCAGATTACAAAAATTTAAAAGAATTTGCAAAATATTTTATATTCTGAAATTAATAAAAATACATTTTCAAATAAATTAAAAATTGTATGTATAAATACAATTTTCGTATAAATTAAGTAAAAGCAAAACTAAAATATTATATTTTAAAATAAATAGATCTCATTGTTTCTTTTGTTCTTTTTCTTCATTTCTTTTAATTTTCTTAGTACAATTGATATTTCTTTTTCATCTTCATTATTATTATTATTATTATTATAATTATGCCAACTAAATCCGACGAATTTTAAAATAATATCGTAGCCATGAATGATGTTTAATAATATAGTTTTAATTTATTTTCTTTGTTTTTATGGTGATTAAAAATTTCTTTTGATTTAAATTTAATAATAATTAATTTAATTTTTATAATTAATTAAATCAATTTAAATTTGTATATTTTGTATAAAATTTATATACAAAATTCACAATATTTTTTTTTCTACTTTAATAAAAAAAAATCAAAATTATTTTTATATTTTTTAACAGACAAAAAATATTTAATTAAAAAAAATTTATTTATTAATGTAATTAAATTTGTATTTTATTTTTTTCTTTCCATTATTTTTCATTCATAAAATATTGCAATTATATTGACTTTATATTATTTTTATATTCAATACAATATTTGAAATTTGATTTAAATTCGAAAAAGTTTTTATTTTAATTTTAATTAATTACAATGTTAAATGTGCATATTAGATCAAAAAAATTAAATAATACCAAGATCAATTTTTCATTCAATTGAATAATTCATTTAATTCATTTTATTGAATAACAAATATTTTGCAAATTATAATTGAATTTTGTTATAATATGAAAACCATAATATTAGATATTTGTGTAAAAGATTCAATTCTGAATTTTTATAGAAAAAGCGAATTTTAATAATATTTTTGCTATTTATTTTTATTAATAGAATTAACATGAAAATAGGCAAAATTAAATATTTCAAGAGAATTTATTAAAAAATTAATTTATTTTTTTCATAAATAAATAAATATGCACGTATAATAATATAAATGTTTAATTATAAATAATAATTAATTTTCAAAAATTCAAACAGTTTAAAGTAAGAGTATAGATTTCAAGAAGCGTCTTTTTGTTATCATAAAATGTAAAAATTATGAAGATAAATTTTAAAACGTCTACAAAAGGATAATAATTAAGTTGAACTGCGAAACATTTTTATTTTTCTATTTTTGTGAATTATCAATATTTTATATTATTATAGTATTTATATATATAATTTATATTCTTAGCAAAAATTATATTAAAGTAAGAATATTTAAATAATGGTTTTTATTAAACAGCAATATTTTATTATCAAATCGATAATAATTTAAAAATTAATTAAATAAGAAATTCATGTAAATATTGTAAAATATGTATAAAGAAAATTATATTCATTTGTTTTTTTTGTTAATGTTCAATATTTTCCGAATATTAATCATTAAATTTAATTAATATTTGCTTGGCATATAGATTAAAAATTTATATTGAAATACGAATAATAATAGGAAATTATTTTTTTTTTTTTTTTTAGAAAAATAAATTATAAAAATAGCTAAGAAATGAAACTTATTCAAATTATGAACTATTCATTATTATTCATTTCTTGAAAAAAAAATTTACCAATATTATATTATAAATTCATTTAATATTTAAGACACCAAATATATTATATTTACTAAATTAATGTACATATTACATTAATGTATATATTACATTACAAATATAATTACATTATTTTGTCTTGAATACAAAAATAATAAAGTAAATATACATATTTTTTTTTTTCATCCGTATTAAATTTTGGTTTTACTTTTTTCTTCGTAATAAAACAGCCTTTTTATCAGAATTTAGCGTTTTTTTTTCTCATTTATCATTATTATTATATTATTATATATTTAATTTTATTTTTATTTTTCTAAACTATTTTAGTTTGTTGTATGTTATATATAATATGTATTTTTATTTTAAAATATTATGTGTAGAAAGACAAATAAATAACAAAAAAAAATGTATGATCATTTGAAAATTTTTTAGTCTGTCAAATTTAGTTTTATCACCATTACAATGTTCAATTAAATTTAATTAAATTATTTTTCTTTTTTATATTTAATCTTTAAGAACTACAGATAATTTAAAATTAAAGATTTATTTCAAATTAGAAATGATTTAATTTTATATTAAGAATAAAATTATGTACAATTTTGTCAGAGTTCAAACATAGACTATATAAAAATAAAATCTATTTTGAAAAATCGGACAATAGCATACATATTTAAAGAATTTGAAATATTAATTTGAGAAAATGTAGTTTAAAAATGATTATCTGTAGTACTTAAAATTTGAAAAAAAAAAAATTATATATTGAAGAGAGATTAATTTACAAATAGTTTGTCTTTTATGTTTGAATTTTAATAATTACAATTTCTATTCTGTTTTTGTTTTTTGTTTTAATATTAAAATATATGGCCCTAATAAATTTATTTATTTAATTTTTTTAGTTTTTTCTAAATTAAATTTTCTTTTTTTTTTTTTCATTTTTTTTTTTTATTTTTATTCTTTTACAACATCACATCACAATTTTAGATTTATATTAAATATTAAATTACATAAGTTTGTAGTTTCATGAAAAGAAAATTTTATGAAAATTGTTAATTACATTAAGAATGAAAATAATGATTTTAATTCAAATTCAAAGTTAAAAAGCAAATTTAATAATGATTAAAAAAATAAGAGAAATTTATAAAGTTTTTTATTCAAATATTTAAGTATTTGTTATAGAATTCGAACTTGCTTCTTTAACTTAATTTTTTTTTTAAGAATAATTCAAAAATTCTAATTAAAATATGTAGATTATATATTGCAATGAAGATTAATTGAACAAAAGCTAATCGATGAATTATATTGAGAATCGAAGAGCGTTTTTTTTTTTGATTATTTGCGATTTTTGATGAAAAAAGCAAAAAAGATATGAAGTTTTAAGTTTCGAACAATAATTGGAAAACTCAAAGGAATGCATTTTTATAAAAAAAATTTATCTACTATTATTTTAATTCAGACTTTATTTATAATGCAATTAAAAAAATAAAATGATGAAAGGAATAAAGTAAAATTAACAATTTCCATTTTTATTATTTTTTTTTTTTCTAATATTAAATATGACAATTTTCTCATTAAATTTTGCTTTTAAACTTGTTTTTTTTTTTAATACTTCTAATAAAATTTATTACAATATTTTTTTTTTTTTTTGATTTCCACATATTTTTTTTAATTTTATTATTTTACATTTTACTAGAATACGCATTTACATTTATAATTACAAATATTATAAATTTTTTTTATAATAATAATAATTTATTTATATTTTAATAATATACATATACTTTTTTAATATACACAAATATTTATGTATATATACATACTATATTTGTAATATATATTTTAAATAATTTTATCATTTTATTTTCAGTGTTTCAAATTCATAAGGATAAGTTCGGATATTGCTACCGTTTAATATTCCTTTGTATATTATTTTTCTTTATTTTATTTTGTTATTTTCTTTTCAAAAATTATGTTTTCCTTTTATTTTTTAAATTTTAAATCAAATTGACTATTTCTTTTTGTATGTTTTACAATTTTTGTTAGTTGTGCGAAATATTTAGAGTTTTTATTAATATAGTTACATTTTTTCAATTATGATTTTACTATTTAAAAAGATGATAATAAGTTTGCTTTATTTCAGTTTTTTTTGAAATATGATATTTGTTTCTTTTTATTTTTTTGGTTTCTATATTTAATGTACAAGATATTTTGATATTCCTTTTTGATTCTGATGAATATTTTTTAACTCAAAATTAAATTTATGTACTCGATTTATATACAAAATTGAGATTTGATAGAAAATTAAAGAAAAATAATGCAATAACACTTTTAGATGATGGAGAGAAAAATTTTAAGGGACATAAATGGCTTCAAAATTTGAATATATTATTATATTGAAAAATTTTGATTTAAATTTTTGAGATTATTAAATTTTATTTTTCCTAAAAATGGATGAATTTAAAATGCAAAATGCCAATTATTGTGTTAAGAATTAATTCCTGTAACTGATACAAAAATTAATATAGTAAAATTGTTAGTAAAGAAATATTTTTTATATTAAATATACATACATTAATTATTTTTAGCAAAACAATATTATTTCTTTAAAAAATATAATACATGGTATCCAATTTGCTTTAATTAAATATTAAAATTTGTAAGAAATTTCAAAATTTTAATTAACTTACGTTGAATACCATAAATTGAGTTTATTATAAGCTATTGAAATCTAAATTTTAAATGATTATGATTCAATTTAATGATGATATAAATTAATAATAATTTAAAGATATATGAAATGAAATAAAATATAATTTTAATCAAATTTTACAATCTTGCAAATGCAGAGTTAAAAAATACTTTTTTTTTTCATTTTTTCTTCAATGTATGTTTGTATAAATATGTACTGGATAATAAATTAATTATTTTTAGTTAATTTTTACAATGTTTGTAACATAATTTTGTTTTTTTTGTTTTACATAATTTTTACTTTTTAATTAAATTTACATTAAATTTCCCTAATTACGTCTCTCCTAAATTTTAAATGGCCATTTATATTTTGTTTGTTTTGTTTAAATTTTTACTAAATTGTGTTTAATTTGTTTTTTTATTTAATTTAATAGTCACAATAATATATGAACATTATTTTTGTCAGTTGTGTTCTGGACAATGGTGTTTCTTATATACTTAATAAAAAAAAAAAATCCAAGGATTTATAAAACAAATATTTTGTAGTTTTACGAAAAAAAAAATTATCACCATTTCGAGTTAAATTTAAATTAAATTAATTTAAAAATACAATTCATTCACATTTCATTTTTTTTTTCATACTGTTGAATTAATGTGCTTATGTTAATGAATGGTAGGGTTTTAAATGTTCAACATAATTTTCTGGTATTAAACCAGTTTTTCCATTTAATGTACCCTGAAGCCAGCCAGGTTCATGTGAATATCGTACTAAAAACAATAATTACAAAGTTATCTAAATTCACTATCTAAATTTAAAAAAATTTATACCATTTGTGATAATTTGATTTGGTTCAAATGAAAGTTCACCTTCATTTTCTCCCAAACAAGCGTATAATGTTCTCACTCGTCTAAAAAAATATTAAAAAAAAAATTATGATTTTTACAAATATTAAAAAATTTAAAAAATATTTTTCAAAATAGAGAGCACTTACGCAGTTCCAGCTTGTAAATCTTTTTTAATTTGATTAATATCTTTTGTTCGATGAATTTTCTTTGGAGCTGGATATTCACTGGAATGTGTTGGTGTATCATCAACTAATAATGTTGATATTGATGAATTAATTGATGATGGTGATGGTACATAATCTGTACTACCACCGCGAGATGTTATTGTTGTTGATGTTAAACCAGAACTTAAACGTCCTATTTGTTTGTCACGATTTGATGATATTGAATCACATACTGATTCATTGGAACTGCTTGTTGAATGTTCTCTACCAGGATAATGTTTAGCTGTTGCATATGTCATATGCCTTGAATGTGTTGTTTGACCATATATTAAAGATCTAGTATCATCTAAATTTCTATGAGCATTTGATTGTGGTGATGTTGTATTTACATTTCCAACAACCGATGACACATGACTTTGACTTGATGATAAACGATCTCTATGATTAATTGGTTGTGCTGTTGCTGTTGGCATTGATGCTAATAAATATTCACTTCTTAAACTTGATTGATTTTGATGATGTGATGAATTATTTAAATTAGCACCGACACCACCGCTACTACCTCCACTATTACTAATTGGTCCATTTGATCCAGTTAATAAATTGCTGCTAACCGAAACATATGTTGGTTCTCTTCTAATACTAATATCACTTTCTGATAGCGCCATATGCGGTGATAATTGATGATGATTTTTTACACTACCAATACCACCACTACTTCCTACAATACTTCCATTACCGCCTCCAACACTATTATTACCACCACCTGTAACGGTGATACTATTACTCATTCCTGATGGAACATTTTTAGGTAAACTATTAATAGCATGACCATTATTTTTAGAGCCATTACTGCTACTGATACCACCACCAGTCGATGTACTACCTGGTGATGTATTCATATATATACTACCATTTGGAATGCTTTGTAAACTTGATGACATTGGTTGATCCGTATAATTAGATTTTGCTACAAATCTAAAAACTTGTTGCTGTGGTGAATACATTAAACTGTTACGTGACGTTGAATTTGATGATGATGCTGGTTTTGTTGGTCCATTATGTCCGCTATTTGAATTACTTGTATGCTGTCTTGATGTGCGTAATGGTGGACTTGCATCAATTGGTGCACCCGAACCAGGTGCCGTTTTAAAAATTAAATCATAATTTTCTATTAAAATATTTATAACGATATTATTAAATTTAATATCTAATATAGCAGCAACAGTTTCCTCTTGTGGACGAAGTAATGTTGGACCGAATACTACACCCAAATTAAAAACTGACATTTTATTTCGTTCATATTTTCGGGCGACCCTAAAAATATTACAAAAAAAAAAAATATTTTTTAAGTGGAAAGTTTTTATAATTAAACTGTTTTCACATTGAAATTCACTTACTCTGTCAAATGCCTAATAACCATTTCCAACATTTCATAATTTGCTTTAGGAAGCCGATGCACTAACGTATGAACATCATGTACTCGTTGCCTTAAGCTTTCTTGTTCTAAAAAACAAAAATCAAATTTTTTATGAATAATAAAGGAAAAATTAAAAAAGGTAATAAAGAAAACCCACTCGCTGCCATTATAAATCCATTGTGATATCTATATGTCATCAAAGGTTCACTTAAATTTCTTAAATATGTTTTTAATGCACTGGCTATTGTATTACTCTCCATTAGATCACGATATTGTTCATCAGTGAATACTATTTCAGTCTTTTTCCTATCCATACCAATTGATAATAATTTAGCAATTTTTGTTCCAACACCACTTTTTCTATATATTCCTTCATCTTCTAGGCCACGACTCTCTAAAACTTCAATACATTTTCTTACAAATGTAAAACCAACTTCATCTAATTGATATTCCTCGGCCCCTTTTGCTTTACCAGGTTGTAAATATGTCTAAAATAATAATAATTTTTTACATTATTATTTTACATAACAGACATTTTAAAAATATGAAGTTAAGATACCGGTTCAGTTCCATCCATTGCATTAATCCAAGCTTTACGATCCTCTTCACTTAATGCTTGAAAAGTATAAATAACTTGTGGTTTTTCTTTAAAACTTAAATCGAAGCAAAAGCGTTTTTCAAATTCTGATGCTCTTCTTTGACACGATTGTAATGTTACAGTTTCAATTGCTGATTCGGCTCGCCCAGATATTTGATTAAATTGTAACATGGTAAATTGTTTTTGTTGTTTTTTGTAAGTGCAATAATATTT